CGAGTTGGTTACCTCGTTATCCTGCTTTGCTGTGAAGAAATCTGAAGCTGGGTGGCTTGGGACCTTGTGAAGGCCCTGGACGCCAGCGCTGTGACTTGGTGTAAGCCTGTTTTCAGGTCTGGATTTTCTGATCTTTTCTGTTTTGTTATGAATTCCTGTTACATGTTCCATTTTAGACTTCTAGTTTTATTTACTCCCCCTCCCCTTTTTTTTAAAGATTTTATTTTATTTTTATTGGAAAGGCAGATATACATAGAGGAGAGACAGAGAGGAAGATCTTCCATCCGATGATTCACTCCCCAGGCGGCCGCAACGGCCGATGCTATGCCGATCCGAAGCCAGGAGCCTCTTCCGGGTCTCCCACGCGGGTGCAGGGTCCCAAAGCCTTGGGCCGTCCTCGATTGCTTTCCCGGGCCACAGGCAGGGAGCTGGAAGGGAAGCGGGGCTGCCGGGATTAGAACCGGCGCCCATATGGGATCCCGGGCGTGCAAGGCGAGGACCTTAACCACTGTGCCATTGTGCCGGGGCTCCACCCCCCCACCCCCCCGTTTTTAACTTTCATCCTTTCTCCCCAAACTTTTCAATTTTTAATTTATAGCACTTTTTAATTCTCTGTATCTGTTTAATATGTTTACAAATTTGTTTTTATTGGAAAGGCAAGGGCACAGAGAACAGAAGAGAGAATTTTCCATCTGTTTGCTCACTGTCCAAATGGCCACGACAGCCTGAAGCCAGGAGCTTCCTCCAGGGCTCCCACGTGGGTGCGGGGTCTGCTGACTTGGGCCGCTGTCTGCTGCTTTCCAGGCACAGCAGCGAGCTGGGTCGGAAGTGGAGCAGCTGGGATGGGAGCTGACCCTTGTGGGATGGCTGTGCCGAGGCGTTGGCTTAGCTTGCCACGCAGAGATGGATTCAGCTGAAAGGTGGAGTTAGAGGGAGACCTTCCTCTGGGCTGCAGCGGCCAGGGCACAGCCAGTGTGGAGCCAGAAGCCAGGAGCTCCATCCAGGGCTCCCACATGGCGCTGGGCGTCTCCGGTGTGGCAGCAGGGAGGTGGGCAGAGGGTAGCAGGAAGTGGCCCTTGGGTGCTGGCGAGTGCATGCTGATGGGAGGAGGCCTGGTCCACTTGAGTGCAGCCCTGCTGATGGCCTGGAGAGCAGCGGGGAACGGCCAGGTGCGGGGGCTCCTGCCCCAGTGCGAGACCCGGAAGAAGCTCCTGGCTCCTCTCTGTAACTCCGACTTTCAAATAACAAATACTCACTAGAAAAAAAAAGTTAGAGGGGAAGGGTGATTTTGAAAAGGAAATCCTGAGACGGAGCCGAGGCTGTGGAGGCTGGCAGGGCTTCCCCTGCGCCCCTCGCCGCGCCCGCCCCTGCCCCCTCACTGCACCTGGCCTGCCTCTTCCCACTACGTTTTCTGTTGGACATATTCAGGTCTTCACTTCTGATGTTTCAATTTGATTTCTCTTCAACATCTCAAACTTGACAAGATTTTTTTGCTCCTATCATGTATTTTTTTAAATACATGATATTAATACATAATTTAAATACATGTATGTGATTTCTTTTTTAAAAAAATTAATTATTTTTGTTGGAAAGGCAGACATATAGAGAGGAGATACAGAGAGGAAGATCTTCCATCTGCTGGCTCATTCCCTAAATGGCTGCAATTGCCAGAGCTGAGCCGATCCAAAGCCAGGAGCCAGGAGCTTCCTCCAGGTCTCCCATGTGGGTGCAGGGTCCCAAGGCTTTGGGCCGTCCTCGACTGCTTCCCCAGGCCACAAGCAGGGAGCTGGATGGGAAGTGGAGCTGCCAGGATTAGAACCGGCGCCCATATGAGATCCCGGTGTTTGCAGGGGGATGATTAGCCACACTGGCCCAAGAATTTTAATTGTTTTGCCTTCATATTCTGATATTGGAATGTTCTTTTTGGGGAGTCGCACTGTCTTCCTTGTTCTCGGTCCCTGTGTTTCTGTGTTTATTTTTAGACATCTGTGGGAACACTTGTTTGTTTTCTGCTCTGGTGGCTTTAACGTTTCAGCTCTGCCTCTGTGACTCAGTGGATTCCAGAACTGTGGTCAGTGTTTCAGGGTGGGGCACCCAGCTTGTGCGTGATGGGTGTCTGCTGCTGTTCCAAGCTGGTCGGTGCCTGGCTGTGGGGTCCTCGGTGGGAGTGCGCGTCCCTCTCGTGGCCCACCTTGGCAGTCAGGAGCCAGTATAGGGGTGGTGTGGAGACCCCACTGCGCCCTCGGCCGTGCTGTGCAGCCCCAGCAGTCCTTGCTGGTCACAGCACCAAGGCTCCCGCACTTGCAGAATGCTGAGGGTCTACTCGACTCTGGACCCGCCTGGCATTGCCTGGGCCAGCGGCTAGTGGGCACTCTGCCTTGGCAGTTTGAGCTCCGGGGGCCTGTGGTAGGGTGGGGGATGGGAATGCCTATAATACCACTTAAAGAAAGAGAGAAAAGAAATAACGAAAAGCAGAACTACGGCTGCATCTTGCACCTTTACTCACAACACCGCAGCACAGACCCCCATTAAATGTGTCTGGGGCGGGCAGACAGAAGCAGAAGCGGGCCTGCCCAGTGTGTGGTCACTGGCACTTGGTGCCCAGGAGGACCAGCGCTGCGTCTGTACACCATGTCACTGCTTGCCATTTTCTGAGTTTTCGTTCAGCATCACCAATTGGAGAGCACTTGAAGAAAGGAGAGAGGGCGGCGGCCGCACCCCGTGCGGGCTAGGGGAGTTTGCCATCGCGCTGCCACACATGCGCTGGGCATGGGCACGGGCATCGCTGGATGAGAGGTGATGGTGTGCGGGCACGCTGGGGCTGGATCTGCATGCGGCTGGTCGGGAAATGACTGCACATTGGCTTTGAGGACCCTGAAGCCGCTTGAACTTCAGTGTCCAATTTTGTGTGTGTGTGCATTTTGGAGAGTAGGTGGGTTGGATTGTTTATCTGTATTCTATCTGATAGGCAGGGTGGCAGAACAGGAAAGTTGGAGACGAGGGAGAATCTTCCCCGCAGGTCTAGAGCGGCCAGGAGCTCGAGCCGGGACTGCTCCCTGGGTGGCCAGGGCCGTGGCGGGGTGCCTGCTGCCAGGCCGTGGCTGGGGTGCCTGCTGCCAGGCCGTGGCTGGGATGCCTGCTGCCAGGCCGTGGCTGGGGTGCCTGCTGCCAGGCCGTGGCTGGGGTGCCTGCTGCCAGGCCGTGGCGGGGTGCCTGCTGCCAGGCCGTGGCGGGGGTGCCTGCTGCCAGGCCGTGGCGGGGTGCCTGCTGCCAGGCCGTGGCGGGGGTGGCCAGGGCCGTGGCGGGGTGCCTGCTGCCAGGCCGTGGCGGGGGTGCCTGCTGCCAGGCCGTGGCGGGGTGCCTGCTGCACTGTAGCATGGGCCCCGTTAGTGGGAGGCCTCACACACTAAGCTGCCTCGCCACTGGACTCCGGCTGCACACCGCACTCTACTCCAGAGCACCTGGTAATGCGATGAGTTTTTATTTTAAGCAACAATTTAAGTGATCAACTGTGCTTCTTGGAAAGCGTGTTCCAAACCCTTTAATTGGTAATTGTTCTATTTACTTTTACCTACGCTTTCTGTTGTTTTTGCTAGTTATTTTTGTTTAGTGTGTTTAAAGTTGGTGAGTGTAGTGCACTTGAGGGACCATGCCGTGGTAGTGCTATTTTAGAGAAGAGCATTAGAGAAACTGCGTTTTTGGGTAAATTGTATTACAAGATTTCTAGTTGCTGTAGTGTTCACAGTTTGAAGCTTTTTCTGTAACAAGTTGTGTACATTGGAAGACAGCACCCCTCTCTTGTGTAGCACGGTGGTGTGGACATTAGCCCCTGAATCCTGACACTCAAGCTCCTGATACCATTGGTGACTGTGACAAGGAGCATGTGGCTGCCGGGGCATTTAGAGGGAGGTGCTTTTAAAATCTGCTTCAGGGCCCAGCACAATAGCCTAGTGGCTAAAGTCCTTGCCTTGAATGCGCCCGGGATCCAATATAGGTGCTGTTTCTAATCCCGGCAGCTCCGCTTCCCATCCAGCTCCCTGCTTGTGGCCTGGGAAGGCAATGGAGGACGGCCCAGAACCTTGGGACCTGCACCCACGTGGGAGACCTGAGGAAGCTCCTGGCTCCTGGCTTTGGATCAGCGGACCACCGGCCATTGCGGCCACTTGGGGAGTGAATCATCGTATGGAAGATCTTCCTCTCTGTCTCTCCTCCTCTCTGTGAAGCTGACTTTCCAATGACAGAATAAAATCTTAAAAATCTGCTTCAGCATTTTAGATCAGTTAATTAATTTAGAGGCTAATTTGTTTTTACATGAAAGTCCAAATTAGAGAAACAGAAAGAGAGATTTTCCATGCACTGATTCACTCCTCAGATGGCTGGAGCTGAGTCTGTCTGAAGCTGGGAGCCAGGAACTTCTTCCAGGTCTCCCAGTGGGGCAGGGGCCCGTGACTTGGTATTGTCCACCAGTGCTTTCCCAGGTCACCAGTCGGGTGCTGCTTCAGCAGTGGAGCAGCTGGGCTTCCACCCCGTGCCCGGATGGGGTCCTGGGCTGCAGGTGCAGTGGTATTTGAAAGCGCAGAACCTTTCTGTCCCCCCTCTGCGGGGGAAGTCTCACTGACGTTCTAAGAGGGGTTGAGATTGTGGCAGTGGGTCGGTTGGAGTGCCGAGTCCAGCTCTGCTGCTGAACTGCTCCCTGCTGGTGCACAGACCCTGCAGCGCCTTGGTGTCCTGCCACGTGGGAGACCCAGGTGGCCTGGCCCCGCGCTGCCCGGGGATGCCATCTGATGAGTGAGCCAGCAGGTAGAACATGCTGCTTCTCTCCTCCTCAAGTAAATAAATCTATCTTCAGTAGGTGTATGTGACTGTGTTATTAGAGGGATGCCCGTTGTTTTTTTCTGGTGAAAGAAAATTCCAGCTAACTGAAGCTGAGTCCCCTGGTGGGGCTCTGTGTGAGCCGTGTCAGGAACCGGTGCCATTGTCTGCTCTGGTTTCTCCCTCAGGAGGACTTCCTCGTGGCCTGCGCGTCTCCTGCACCCCTGCGCTTTGCTGATGCACCAAGTCGGAAGGCAGTTTTCCCAGGATAACCTGTAATGGGCAAGGAGCCACAGAGAAGAAAACGTTTCTTTTAATTTTTACACTTGGTTCGAAAGGTAAGAACGTGAAGGTTCTGAGGGGTTCTGTTCCATGAACAAGGTCCCGGAGAGCCCGAGGTGTGTGGGAGCCAGGCCAGACCCTGTGCCCTTGGGCTGTGCTGGGGGGCGGGAGGGGGTCTCCCACAGCTGCTTGGAGGGGCGGAGGGGACTTGCAAGCTGCAGTGGCAGTGTGCAAAGCAGACTGTTGCTTGAGGCTCATGACCCCGGCTGCTGCTTCCAGGTCACCCCACTGTGTGTGTGAATGAGGGTGTGGGGGCGGGGCTGAGTGCTGTGGGTTTGTTTTCTGTCAGCTGAAGAGCGTGGCATCTAGCCAGCCACATGTCTCCTTTTGAGTCCTCATTACTGTTCTCTAGAACTGTTGGAGTTGGTTAAAAGATCAGTGATCTGGCCCAGCACAATAGCCTAGCGGCAAAAGTCCTCGTCTTGAATGTGCTTGGATCCCATATGGGCGCCGGTTCTAATCCCAGCAGCCCCACTTCTCGACCAGCTCCCTGCCTGTGGCCTGGGAAAGCAGTGGAGGATGCCCAAAGCTTTGGGACCCTGCACATGGGAGACCCAGATGAAGCTCCTGGCTCCTGGCTTTGGATTGGCGCAGCACCGGCCGTTGCGGTCGCTTGGAGAGTGACTCATTGGATGGAAGATCTTCCCCTCTATCTTTCGTGCTCTCTCTGACTTTCTAATAATAATAATAATAATAATAATAATAATAATAATAATAATAAAGATCGAGACTCGCCTGTGCCGGTTTGACTTGTGTGCAGCGGCCTGGTGGTCCTGTGCTGTGGCCTTCCTCTGGGGGCGGAACTCCTGCTGGGCTGTGCCAGTGCACCTGCCCTTGGCTGTGTTCTGGCCCAGGCCACAGCTCTGGCCTTCACAAGTTCCTGCTTTGGCTGCTGGTCCCACTGGCTGCCTCCCTGGGCCTCCCTTACCCTGGCTACTGTTCTGATGGTTCTGTCAGCCCCGACCCCTCTTGCATTCAGAGCTCTTGTCTATATCCTGCCATGACGGGTCTTCCTGCCGCCCTAGGCGTGCCTCTGGATGCCGTGTGGATGTGGTGTGCTCTGCCCAGTGCCGCTGTGGCTCATCTGGTCCTCACTGGCACTGCTAGGTGGCACAGCACAGCGTCACTTCCTGCTGAGCTGGTCCTTGGCTAAGTGCTGTGGCTTTGCTCTTTCTTGCTCTGATGAGCAGTGCCTTGTGCTTGCCTCCGCCCATTTGTACAGCTTCACCTTGTCAAGAGGGTTTTTTTTTTTTTTTCCCTGTTTTGTAATAGCAAAATGCTCAATATTGTTTGTTGTTAGATAATCTTTACATAGTGGATTAGGGCACAAAGGGTCAAGAGCTGCAGGAAGGTGGGTTAGACCGTTGTTTCCACATTCTCTTTTTTTCCCCCCTGTACCTGGGGTCCGGGGAGAGACAAAGGGAGAAGCCCCACCCAGCCTCCCCCGCATCCCAGGTCCCAAATGTGGGGCGTGCTCCGAGGATCCTGCTCAAGGTTTTGATAATTCAGCAGTTCTGAATTGCTGCCAGTCTCGCCATTCCAAGCCCGATGAAATCTCCAGAATCAGTCAAGTGGTTTTTGATGCTTCCTCTGTGTCTTACTTTGGCTGTCCCCCTGGCTTTTTGTTTCCTGTGCATCCTCACCAGTGTGCTGCAGCCCCGAACATGCCCACTGCCGCGGCACTGGCTGAGCTGCCCGTCCACCATGTTGAGAAAGCGAGCCACGCGGTCTCTGCTTGAGCCTGTCCTGCGGGCTGACCCGCTGTTGTTCCTTTGTTGGCCAAGTGCAGGTGCGGCTGGCAGGGCCAGAGTCGTATGCCTCATGGCTGCCACTAGGGCTGCTTGCTCAGCAGCTGGCTCTGCCCTGTGGATCTGGTGGGGAGAGTGCTTGCCCTAGAGGTGGCAGACCTGACTTGAGTCCCAGTTCTGGCTGGCATGTTTCTAAGCTGTGGCTTTTGGGGGCTTTTCTGGCTTCTCACAATCTTAGTGTTTCAATGTGCAGGTGATAACAGCTGAAGGGTTGGGTCAGAGCTAGAAGTGGGAAACCCAGGGCCTGGCAGTTTCATGTTTCAGTTGCTTCCAGAAGTGTCCCCACAGTGGTGTTGTCTGTGGTGTTCCTGAAGAGCAGGAAGGGGCTAGAGGCTGCTTTCCCCGGGGGCTGCTGGCCCATGCGGGACTGCACTGCTCCGTTCTCTGGCGCTCTGATGCATCCCCCAGTGACAGCACTGCCCCTCCCAGTGGCTTTGCTGCTGGGCTAGTGGACGAGGAAGCTGAGTCCCTAGTGGTCTGTGCAGCCTGACCGCAGTGTTAAAGGACAAGGGGCAGGTTCTGTAGCCAGGGTTGTTCTAGCCTGTGTTTGCTGCCATTTGCCACTTCTGCCTTCTAATGTTTAATTGTAAAATGAACTTAATAATTTGCTCATTCTTCACTCGCAGCCTGCTGCTTCCTGATTTGTTGTTGTTGTTGATTTGTTTTTTGCTTCCTGATTCTTTGAGAACTTCTCTGTGTGCCCCAGGATTTCTGCTTGGTGAGCACAGACAGTCTCATTGCCTTCTGATCTGGGTGGTCACATGCTGAGGACTGGCCACTGCCAGGTACTAGTACAGAGTCCCCTTGTCCAGTCCCTGCTGCAGTGCAGGGGTCCTAGCCGCGGTCACTGGGGTCACTCCTTGCTGGCGTTTCAGTCAGGAGGCTGGCTCAGAGGCTTCTCGTGGACAGCCCTCTTGACATTGCCAGGCAGGTCTTCCTGTTGGGCTCTGTGATACCATCTTTTCTGTCTTTTCATTCACCTTCCCCTGCAGCAGGCATGGCACACCTCCACACAGAGAGCAGGACTGGGCAAAAACCTCGGCCATCCTGGGGGCTTGCCTGCTCCCAAGTGGCCCTCAGTCACATTGGAAAAAAACAAGTGTAAGTGAGCTGCATATCACCCATGGCTTGCATGAGACTGTAGACAAAGAGGCGCAGAGACTCATGTTCATGTATGTCTTCAGGCTGATAATTTGTGGAGGAACAGATTAATATTAGGGGTTGACAAAGGAAGGCTAGATTGTTCTTGGTTGGCACTGGACATTCAAGGTTAAGGGGTGATGGAATGCTGTTCCTTAGCATCTGCCCAGGCATGTGCAGGCATTGGAGGGTGTTGCAAGCGTCGAGAGAGAACATGCCAGACACAAGTTTGCTAAGGAGTTTATTAGTCCTGCTTGGCGATGGATGTGCCCATTACGCTAGGACCCACTGGCGTGTTCAAAGGCCTGCCTTCCTAATGACCAGCTGCAGGCACTAGGCCACCATTCACCTGGCGATGAGAGAAGCTGGCACAGAGAAATTACAGTGGCAATCCAGTTGGAAGAAACAGCCCTTAGTGTGAAATCTGCACGTCAAACTGAAGACCTATGTCCCAGCTTCCTCAGCAGTGTAACTCATCCTAAGGGACATGTCCAAGTAACCTGGACACGCTTCCAAAGCTGCAGACACTCACCTTTCCCTGGCTTCTCTGCATTCTCTCACTGCTAGACCTCACTCTGGAGCTCTTGATAGTACCCAAAGTAGAAATACAAAGTATCTTAGCAGTAACATCTTCGCTGACTCCTCCAAGCAGTGAACATGGTGAGGAATACAGACTTGCAGGGATCAAGTTCAGGGGCTGCCTGTCCTGGAGTCTGTCCGCAGGGAGCCAGAGAGCAAGCAGGTGCTGGGCAGGCCAAAAGTTGGAGTGCAAGGGTGGTGGAAGCATGCGGCCAAGAGAGCCCCTCCTGGTCGTGGGCCTTTATGGGGGCTTGAGAGGGCAGTGGTGACTTGGCATTGCCCTCCTCAGGTTCTCGGAGGTGGGCAGAAAGGATTGTGCAGATGGGAGAGTCGTGGCTTCCAAACTAGTAAGACTGGTAAGATCCAGTGAGACCATAACAAGGATAGTGCATTTCCCAGGCCGCTCAGCATTCCAAAGGGAAGATAAAAGTTTATATTGTTTTCTGCCAAACTACAGCTCGGGAATGAGGGACAAGTAGAAATTCAGCATCCTCTTTGCTGTGGAAGAGGGCAGTCTTCCTTGGTGCCTGAAGTGGAGGCCTGGGCAGGTTGTTGTTCCATCCCTGGGATGCTCACCCTGTTAGGCAGTTCTTTCAGAGGTTGGCTCCCACTTGTTGTTGCTCTGTGTTCCTCAGTAGTACACACGATGCCTACCCTGTTGGGGCTGATGTTACATGCCACGGTGGGTGAAATCGGTACCCCATGTGGGCACCAGTTCAAATCAGGGCAGCTCCACTTCCAAGCCAGCTCCCTGCTGGTGCACCTGGGAAAGCAGTGGAAGATCACCCAAGTCCTTGGACCCCTCCCACCCCAGGGGAAGCTTCTGACCCCAGACTGGTCCAGTTCTGCCTGTTTTGGCCATTTGAGAAGTGAACCAGTGATGGAAGATCTCTTTCCCTCCTCAGCTCTTTCAAATAAAAAAAATAAATCTAAAGAGAAATAAAATGGTACCTGTGTAATATAACACATTAAATAGGCTTGATTTTTTTATTCACTAATCTTAAAGAAAAGCTCAAACAGCAAGAATGCTACAGATTAGAATGGGAATAGATTCTGGAACACATGGAATCTATTGCCTTTGATCTCTGGCTAACGAGGTGACAGAGCAAACAGGCGGGCTCTGAGCCTGAACATGAACTCGGCACCTTCAGGACCTTCATTGAAGTGAGAGGCAGCCAGGGGGCGACTTCTGCTTGTTTTAGGGTCTCTTCCCTTGGGCCTTGATGAGAACTGTTCTTGCGCTTGGGTGGGTCCGCCGCTTGCGTGGGCGTCCTCTGGCTTGGAGCTGAGTGAGTTGTCCTGTTTTGTGGATTGTTCCTTGTCTGCTCTGAGGGCAGGACAGTCTTCAGCATGGCCGTCTGTTCTGGAGCCCTGCTTCCCCTTCAGGTTCTTGTTCAGCTAAACAAGGGACTCCTGGTGAGCGGGGAGGAGACCCCCGGGTCTGGAAGGCGCAGGGATGCCTGCCTTGC